GGATTGAACCTAGGGGTGCTTAACCACTGAACCATATCCCCAATCCCCTCCCCCCGACCTTTATTTTTAAAGTACCGGGGATTGAACTCGGGGGCACTCGACCACTGAGAGACCACTCACACATTCCCCAGTCCTATTTTGTATTTTTTATTTAGAAACAGGGTCTCACTGAGTTGCTTAGCACCTCGCTTTTGCTGAGGCTGGCTTTGAACTTGCAATCCTGCTGTCTCAGCTGCTGTGATTATAGGCTTGCACCACTGTGCCCAGCTCCCGGCCCCCGGTCCCTTTTTTAATATTTTATTTAGAGACAGGATCTCACTGAGTTGCTTAGGGTCTTGCTAAATTGCTGAGGTTGGCTTTGAACTCGAAATCCTCCTGCCTTAGCCTCCCAAACAATTAGGATTACAGACATGTGCCACTGTGACCCACCCTCTACCTCTTGATGGCATGAATCATGTTTTATACTTCTTTGTTAGTCAGATGGTACTGTCCACACATTAGGAACTCTGTATTTGCTGACTTTTCTTGAATCTTATGTCAAATGTGTCCTAACCAGACTTCTTGTTGTTGTTKTTTTTTTTTTTGTGCTTCAAAACTTGTTAGTTTTATTAAACTTTATTTTGTTCACACAGCTTCTTTACATGTTCAGTAGCACTGATGAACGAACACATTTACAGAAGTCCTCTCACCATAGACAATCGTTTAAATATGCTTCAAATGTTTTAGCCACTTATTTAACAAGTTTTTGATATTAATATTAAAGAAATAAATGGCTAAAATACATATTGGTATATTTTTCTTTTTTTTTTTTTTTTCCTTTAAGAAAGAGGTCTATTTACCTCATAGTATTAGAGGCTGAAAGTTCAAGATCAGGAAGCCTAAGTATTTGGCCTCTGGTGAGGGCCCCCTGATGTGGGCCCTCTGGTGTGTAACATCAGGGCAGAGAAGCAAAAAGGAAAATCAGATCTCTTAGACTGATATCAGTTCTTGCCTAGAGTCTGTCCCTGTCAATGTTTTCCAMAGAAATCTTATTCTTTTTAGATGTTAATTCTAAACCTAGCATTAGCATATGCTATTTGTCATTGACCTTGTTATTTATATTTGTTTTATACTACTCATTATTTTCTTTCTCTTTCCTCAAGTTTGTAGGAACTATAGACTTTTAGGAACTATATTTTATATATTTCTTATATATTTCATAGGTCTTAATCCCCTGGTGTTTTCTAAATGCTGTGGATTTTTTAAGGATAATAAAAAATTTAATTTGTCCCTCCTTTCTCACTACTATCCCTCCAAAAGGAACAAGAGTCAGTGACTATAGAATCTGTTGCTTCTCATCAGAGAGAATTCAGGGCTGGTTAATGACAACCGAGCCTTTCTCAAGCTAGTGATAGATAAGTAGAAGAGAAATCCATTTCTTTGAGATTTGGGAGAAGAAATGCCTAATGATTAAGGAATTGCCTTATAGAGCCTTGAGGATATATAAGGAATACCAGCCAACAAGTCGACATAGTAACATGGAAGGAAAATTGGACTCATGGTCACTGCTGGAAGGGATTCAGAGCAACTTGACTTCCTGGATTAAGCTGAGCCAATGTTCAGATTTCTGGATCTTACTTTTTTTTTTTTTTTAAATCTTATCCTTTATGCTTTTGGTTTGTATGTTCTGAACACAGGGCCTCACAAATTCTACCATTGAGCAACATCTTCAGCTAAATCTCTTCCTTTAAAAGCAAATTTAAAAGGTATTTGCTAAAGGATCCTAAAGTTAATAAGGGAGTGTGCATAGAAGGAGTGGAAGAAATGATGTCACTAATCAGAGAAATTCAACAGAAGAGGACTGGCTACATGGTCAGAAATTCTATCACATCTAATTCATCCCTCGTCTTCGAGGCTTTCATAACAGTATGGGTTTAGATTTCTAAAATAAGCTAGAGTTAAGACCAGAGATTTATCCATTTTATTTAGTAGCTTGTTTTGAACAGTCATAAATAAACCAAAACTCTCTCGTACATCTTTTTTTCCCTATGTAAATTCAACCTTGCTTACTCTTTAACACAATAAATGGGAAAAACCATCCCTAGATACTTTTTCTTCGGTAGAGTGGCCATGGACCAAGTCTGGAGGCCCAACTCACTGCAGCACAAGCAGTATGTTATTCTTCAAATAAACTAGGTTACCTAGGAGGGGTAAAGAACCAAGGTACCAGCCTTGAAGAGGGTACAGTGTCCCTGGCTTGTGCCAATAGTATGACTGGCTTCCTTCCTCTGCTCAGACCTCATAGGGAAATCCCTGGATGGTCTTATTAGCTGACTGGAGTCCAGGGACTGGGGTGAGTAAATGAGGTGAAACATAGTGTAGAGATTCCAGAAGCCTCTCGTGGAACTGTACCATCCCCTAGAGCGAGATGATAGCCCCATCCCCCCAGTTTCATACAGGAGCTTCAAAAGCCCAAATATCCCCATCCATACCAGTGCCAGGACTAGGATGCTTCCGGCGTGGATGGCACTCTCTTTAGGCAATTTGCAGCCATATAGAGGGCTGGGTCTCTGCCTTGGGAGGATCTTGGGCCCATCSGCTCTTTAGTCCTGGCATTTGGATTCTAGGGTTGAGGCTTCCCTTTAGTCCCTCCCAGATACAAAGGTTTTCAGCTTAGGTTAATTCTGGGGACTGGAGCTGCAGTTGTTCCCATTCCTGTGCAAGAAGGGAAAATAAAGCTTACTTTGAAAGAGGAAAATGGAAAAGAAGCCTGTGTGCGTTATTTATTTATTTATTCATTATTTAAAAAGGTGCTACAATAGCAGAATTCTGCTAGGGATGGGGGTACATAGTTTAAGTAGTAGATTTTCCTAGATTTGCATGGATAGAGTATCTCCCCCACCCATTTCCTCCTATACCCCCTCTTCCTGGTCCTATCAGTAGCAGGAGCTCATCAAAACCATCAATGGATGCCTCCTTATTTCTGAAAAGAAGCTTTCATCTCTGTTTCCCAGCACCAAATCTGAAATCCATGAACCATCTCATTTCCATGTTGAAACCAGGGTCACTGTAAGTCTGAAATTTTGGGTGTCATACTCCACAATCAAAGCAAAATATCTGCCCCCTTTTCTAAGTTCTCTGAATACTTAGTTTCTGTACATTCTGTATATTTGGGCATATATACATCTTTATACATATCTCTCTGTATATATTATCTCTTTTTTTCTCCTTAGATAAACCTTTCATATGTATCATATCCTAAGTCCCCAAGACTCTACCCATCCCTTGTTTGCCAGCCCAAGAAAGTCTCAAGGGTTTCATTGATTTCACCAAGTCCTTCAGCCCCATTCTTTCTTATCTTCACACCCTGAGTATCCTTTCCCATCAGTTGTTTTTTACCCACCTTCTGAAATCTCCCCCTTAACATTTATGGCTATTATGCTGACATTCCAAGTCTATGGCTGATGTAGATGGGGCCCATTTCTCACCACACCCAGCTACTTCCAAAGATTATCCTAAAGCCTTGAAAGAGGATTCCAGGACAGAGGAGACAGGCTGAAGTCTAAAGAACCATTTAGGGTCGAGGGTGGGATAAATTGTTGGGGAAGAACGGGCTTATTGGAGAAGATGCCAGATTACACTATTAGGACAGTATGATTTAAAGTGCARCTTAAAGCAAAGCCTGGGATAGCAGAGGAGGTTCAAAAAAGATTAAATCAGAAAATGTTCTCTTTGCACCTTGTTATCCAGGAATCTGAGAGCCAGAGTGGGGCTCAGAATAAGACAGCAGGGGAACAGGAAGAGAATACTTCCTTCAGAAGGAAAGCAGCAGTGCGCAGAAGAAACCAGATGGGGAACAAATAGATAAGAACACACACACACACACACACACACACACACACACACACATTGCAGTACATTTTGTCCTTATATGTTGAAAGAAATCAGATAAGTTTAATGTTGAATAATGTTGAGAGCACAGAAGCTGGCTCCTTGCCTTCTGTTCTTTGTTTCAGATTTTCAAGTTTTTCTGGTTCTTCTTTATATGAGGGCTGGAGAGTAATGGTGTGGTTTACAGTAAGTGGAGACTCAAGGGTCTTCATTTTCAAGATAAAGTTAGTTGAGTTCAGGAGAGATCAGTATGAAAGGAATATGCCAGTTGAATAGGTCCAGCCTTGAAACTGAGTGAGATTTTCTGCAAGGTTCTGCACAGAGAAGCATGTATACACTCGGTATAAGTGTGTAGCTTATAACAATTGGTCAAGTTCATCTTAAATAAACTGCCACTTGATTCATACAGGGATTCTATGCCAAACAACTTTCAAGGGGTTCCTTCATACATAAATGAAACCAGAAAACACGCATAGGATTTGGGACATTACAGAAATTTTGGTGTCTATATGCCCTTCCAGGACCTTTGCCATACTCCCCACTAGGGAACAAGGGATTGCCTGAATCATCTCCTAAAGAGGCTTTTTAACTTGCCTGAAACTGGCCCCATGGTTGAGGAGAGTAGAAATTATACTGGTTTTCATGATTTTATACCAAATCTCAGAGTAGCTAAAGGAGATCATGGGTATTTGATCTGGAGGTATAATTTCCTCCCCTCCCAGTACTGCCTGGTGAAATAACTGTCATTTTTCAGAAAGATACCAGGAGGTGTAACAAAATAGTGGTTGCTAGCCAGAGAATTCTGCTTCTGCACAAACCTTAACAAAAGCATCACCAATACCCAGAGGCTCTGTAGAGCAGTCTAGAAATCTGAGAAGTTGCCCATCCCATGTGGTTGGCTTAACTTTCCTGGGGAATCTATACCCTGTGGATCTACAGTTGAGCATCTGTGTTAAGAGAAGGAAGTCCTCACATTTCTCTTCCTTTCTCTAAAGGGTTGGGGTTAAAGGAAGAGGAGTCTGGGCTAAATAGGAAAGGAAGAAGAGAAGCCAAGTACAGTGCAATCTGAAGTGTCATTTTCAGACCTTTTCATGAGGCTTGGACACTGGACTTATTTGAGGGAACATACTGGCGAGGATCCTCCCATTCAGAGAACACAGGGAAACAAATTTTACCAGGGCTGCCTGGAGGATGCGTTCAAAGTTTTGGACAACAGCTCCAAAACTGAAGATTTAGAATCCAGAATGGGTGCAAGTATGTTGGTCATGACTATATGTTTCTCCAGTTAATACTGATTCTCTGGGGGACAGAAGCTATGAGAGAACTGGTTATCCTGAGAATGTCCACTTGAGAATAGAAAGGGGGAAATGGTAGTATCCAAGGACCCAGGTTATGACCAGAAGTTACCAACAAAAATTAGATACATCATGACAAATTTTAGTTGCTTTCAACAAGGGTTGGTAGAATCCCCAAGATATACTGATTTCAGGTTCCTGTATTTCTGAGCACAGACTACAAGGTGACCATTAGAGAAAACCTTTCCTTAAGGAACTGGCTACATAGAAATGGAGATGGAGAGTCACCAAACACTTATGGTGGCAGAAGGAAGGCACAGTCTATCCATCCAACCACATGTTCCTTCTAAAGTAAGTCTCCAAGCATGGCTGAGGCCTTTTAAGCCACTCCAGCCGAATCTTCCCTCTCCTTCACCCATCCTGGCATAAGGGAGTTGTGTGCATTGGGGTAGAAGCAGGGGGAGGTGGGGGAGACAAAGGGAGGAAAACTTGAACTCCAGTTGGTTCAGACTTCCAAAGGCCTCTGGGTTAAAGAAGGGAGAATGGAGGATGTATGCTTCTGGAACTCTCCAGTGACCCCAGGTAGTATCCCTTGCCCAGGGCTTCAAAAGAGAGGAAAAGAGGCCAGAGGGCTGGGAAGGTGGAAACAGGCCCTCAGACATTGCTGATGCGCACGCTTAGGGCACTGCCCTCCTTCTCAGCTTGCTCCCTTAATGACTCCTCCAACTTGAGCTTTTCAGGATCTCCATAGCGTACAGTGCTGTCACGGAGGCCACTAGGAGAGGCCACTTTCACAACCTGGTCAAAAAGGCTGAAGTCAGCTATGTATTTGCCACTGGCCGACAGTGAGATGGCAGGTGTGAATTCATAGCCCCAAAGGATCTCCTCCGGCAGGTAGGAAGTGCGCACCTGGCAGGTGGCACTTGTGGACTCCACTGTACCACTTAGGATCAGCACCAGCTCAAAGTCACCTTCACCACTGCGAAGGGGGAGATCTTTCAAGGGACTGGTCTCATCTACCACATGGTAGAAGGTAAGGGGCAGAATGAGGAAGGGACTGTCCGAGGCTGTGTCTACTTGGAAAGTAACATTGACTTGATTGAGCCGAATGTTCTCACCCTCCTTCGTTTGATGAGTCTGAAGCAGTTTTCCTGTCACCTGGCAGCCAATGAGAAGGCTCTTACGCATATTGGCAACCCGGATCATAAGGCAGGGCTTCCCATTGTGTGAGGCTACAACTGCATGCTGGCTGAAACGGATGGTCTCCGCACGCTTCTTAGGCCGGGCAATCTTTGCCAGGAAAGTACCTGTGATAAAGATTTCCAAGATGGTGGTGAGCACCAGCTGGGCAATAAGAAGCACGATGGCCAGTGGGCACTCCTCACTGATGTAGCGGAAGCCATAGCCAATAGTGGTCTGGGATTCAAGGGAGAAGAGGAAGGCTCCAGTGAGTGTGTGCACCTGTACCACACAAGGGGTGTGGTTGGCAGGGGGGCCCAGCTCCAGCAGGTCCCCATGGGCCACAGCCACCAGATACCACACAACACCAAAGAGGAACCAGGTGCCTGCAAAGGTTGCAGAGAAGAGCAGGAGCTTGTAGCGCCACTGCATGTCRATAAAGGTTGTCCATAAGTCCTTGAGGTAGAGGAAGCGCTTGTCAGCAATGTGTTCCATTCTCACATTGCTGCGGCCATCTTTCGTGAGGACTCTCCGCCGTCGTATCGGTGGGCCCACTAGGGGCCGGCTTTCTGTCTGAGTGGTCTGGCTGTAATACACCTTGGCAACTGATGTCATCTGGAGGGGACAAGACAGCAGAAAGGTTATTGTAGAAATCCAGCCAAYTCCTAGATATCACATAATAAGAATGAGGCATTAACATTCATTTTGGCCCTACTTATTTGTTCTTTTATTAGCAAATATTTATTAAGCACTTGGTATATTGCAGCCATTGTGCAAGGTGCTGATGACCAAAGGTRTAAATAGAATCACCCTTGCTCTCTAAGAATTTGAAGTCTAGAGAGGAAGATACAAGTTCAGTAAGCAAATAATTGCAATACAATCTGATATTTGTAATTTTTAAATACGAGGTAGAAAATAAAGAGTAGTAAATTCATGGTTCCTTGAAAGTAGGGAAAGACTAATGAAGGCTCTACTAATCTCCATTCATCACAAAACCAGTTCTAAGCAAGTATATAATTTTGAAATAGGATCCTAACCCATCCTCACAAATATCTATTGTAAGGCAAGAAAGGCTATTCCATTGAAATCCTTCTAGGCCAATCCCTCGTAACATACACATATGCCCTTAGTTTCTCCATTCTCTCTCCTAGTTCCAAGTTAATAACCATTTATGATACTAAAATACTCATCTGAGTAAGGAAATAGCAGAAACTGCCATTCTTCTGCCCTCCAAGATGCTCTTCAAGTATCCAGCCCATTTCATTTATTATTATCATCATATGTTTGCATCATCTGGGGAAATCAGGTCTGGGTTAGGGTCTCAGTTGTTAGGTCTCAGTTGTCTCAGGAAGAGCACAGACAGGACTTGAGCAAAAAGCAGTGATACAAGAGAAATAACATATTGAAGCTTCTTGGTATCCTTGGAACATTACCCCCAAAATTGGTAGGAAGGCCAGAACGTAGGTAGCAAAATTGTCTTGACTGAGTGAAGCAGGAGAGTTACAAGGGCATATTAGTGGCTATGTCTGCACAGGATCAAATTCAGGATTGCTATTTTCCCTGATAATAGAAAGTGAAACAAAGATCTGAAATAGGAGACAATTTATTTCACAAGGTCCCTGGCATCCCTGCCCAAGGAATAACTTGTACTTTTCCAGCAGACAAAAATTCAATCACTAAGCCCATGGACTCTGGATTTGATGAACCGGATCTTCTGGGAAGGAGTAGAGTGATCTCTAGGGAGTTTGACCCTTTCTGGAGATCATAGAGGGTCATCATTCTTCATTTCAAAAGCCTGAGCTGTTGCATTTTATCATTCTTCACATTTCTCCCCTCCCTTGTCCCTGGAAAATTCTAAATTAGTTTGGTCCATTCATATTCCCATCCAGGTAAACACTTGAAATGGCGATCACCAATGGATGAGAATATTGTGAATGTTCAGAGGCAGCTAGAATGCCCATTTACCAGTCCACAGTCCATTTGGAATTTTATTTACCTAAGAATACTGCTCAACCAGATTTGAATGCTATTTACTGCCCAATGTCTTTGGCTACTTTGAAGCAAAAAACAAAACAACACCAAACCAACAAACAAAAAACTCTAAACCTCTGAAGTTTGGAGAATTCCCATTTAGGGCCCAAAGACAATCCTATTTAGTACTCAGTGGTGGTAACAATAATAAACCCCACCACAATGCCTATGCATAGGTTCCATTTTAGAGTTCAACGTAAATCTTATTTGATTGATCCTTGAACTCTTTTTTTTTTTTTTTAAAGAGAGAGTGAGACAGGAGAGAGAGAGAGAGAGAACTTTTTTTTAATATTTATTTTTTAGTTCTCGGCGGACACAACATCTTTGTTGGTATGTGGTGCTGAGGATCGAACCCGGGCCGCACGCATGCCAGACGAGTGCGCTACCGCTGAGCCACATCTCCAGCCCCGATCCTTGAACTCTTGAAAAGAAGTTTTAAAACCTCCATAAGAGACTCTGAGGAATATTGGAGAACAGAGGAATTTCCAGAGAGTTAGAGAAGGGTTAACATGATTTTGATTTTCTTTTTTTTAATATTTATTTTTTAGTTGTAGTTGRACACAATACCTTTATATTATTTATTTTTATATGGTGCTGAGGATCGAACCCAGGGCCTTGTACATACTAGGCGAGTGCTGAACCGCTAAGCCACAACCCCAGTCCATGATTTTAATTTTCAAGAAGAAAAATGAGGTATGCTTTGCCAACCATAGACAAATAGGTAAGATAATGATCCTAGGCAAGATTCTTGAATAAAATTTTAAGATTCTAAGCAGGATGGGAGAAAGAAAGTTATCAATAAGACTCAGTGTAAGTCTACAAAAAACAAGTTGCATCAAAATAACTTAATTTCCTTCAATGATAAGGTTGTTAAATTGAGGGCTGGGGATGTGGCTCAAGCGGTAGAGCGCTCGCCTGGCATGCATGCGGCCCGGGTTCAATCCTCAGCACCACATACCAACAAAGATGTTGTGTCCGCCGAGAACTGAAAAATAAATATTAAAAATTAAAAAAAAAAAGGTTGTTAAATTGACAAATCAGAGAAATTCAATTAGTGTACTTAAGCTTCAGCAAGATTTTTTCACCAGATCTATCATATGTCTTATCCTGGAGGATGAAGAGAGATAAATGAAAGAAGGATAATCCCATTAGGTGACTTAAAAGTAGAAAATTAGTTGTACTGGTGAGTGGACCATCATGGCCTAGAATTAGCTTTCTATTAATGTACCAGAGTGCTTTATCTTTTGTCTTGGCCTATTCATGTTCTAAAGACTAATTTCATTCAAAACCAGAGAACACCATGGCTATCAATTATGTGGATGACATAAAGCTGGGATGGATTACAAATACAAGGGCTGGGCAGAATTAGGATCTCAAAGGAGCCAGATGAGTGAGCCAAAGTAACAAAAAGGATTAACACTGGATTATTTACTTGGGTTCAAAAATTACCTGAACAAGTTCAAGACAAGGAAGATGAATGTAACTTGGCTAGCAGTACCATGAAAAAAAAAAAAAAGAATTAAGTATTTTAGCAGAAAATAATCTAGCAGAAGTTCCCTTTTGCCAAAAGAGAAAAAAAAAGCAATACAATCTTAAGCTACTTTAAAGTCCCTAGAATACGAAAGTAGTTGGTTCTACTCTACTCCCTTCATCCCACGTCTACAGAATARAGTCTCAAGGAGTAATCAGGATTTGAAAAGATTCAGAGCCAGATCACATGGCAAATGGTTGAAGGGAAAAGGGAATTCAATCAGGAGAAGAGACAAGGTAAGGATGTAACAGACATGTGCCATTATTTGGCTTGAAGGACTATCATGTGAATGTAAGTTTGGTCTAGTTTTCTGGGCTCCAAGAGGAACAACCAGATCCGTGAGTTCAAACTACAGGGAGAAAACCTCCAATCTTATATTATAAAGGACACTGTAAGGATCAGGACAATCCAAATGTGTAAAGAGTCCCTTGAAAGGTGGATGGTAACGTGACCCTGACAGCGTGCAAAGACAGTTTGGACTGGCACTTTACAGAGATCCTATGTAGAAGATTAAAGTTTAAGATGGGGGTTGAAAGATTGTCTCTAATTTTGACTTCACTCATGGAGGATCAGGATGCCTGTCTCCTCCCTGATTCTGAAACAGGGGCACTTTACTACTGAGCTACATCCCCAGCCCTTTTTATTTTTTTAATTTTGAGATAGGGTCTCACTAAATTGCCAAAGCTAGCCTGAGCTGATCATGCTCCTGGGATTACAGATATGCGCCATCACACCTGGCTACCCCTGCACTTTCTGTGGTGACATTCAGGGATTGAGGGAAGATTCTGCATATTGGGGAGATTGGAAGCTCTTAGGGATCAAGGAAAGGCTTGTTTATCATTCTTAAAATAATAGCCTATGATTACTTATTACTTTAAAATATGTAATTTGATCTCACAACACCAAGTAGTTAGGAAAGACATCATTAGAAACTAAGGCTCAGAGAGATTTGCCTCAAAATAGATGAGTGATGGAGTTGGGACCTGAACCCAAGTCTTCTGTCTCCTGGTTCAGAACCTTGAAATTGTAGTAACTGCTTCTGTGGACCCCAGGTTCATTTTATCTCATGCTCTCAGAAGGTACCTGTGTAACCCTGTACCAAGGACAAGTTGAGTCAGAGAAGACCGAACCTGGAGCTCCTGGATCCCAGCGTTAAGGTCATCAGCTAATTGGCACTGGAGATTTTGGCTACTGGCTAGCCTCTTTGTTGCCCCCGGCTGTTGTGTTTGCCGCCTCCAGATGTTATGCCTACTGTTGCCAGCCTTTATTTCTGCCACCTCCGGCTGTGATCTGCTGCTCCCAGCTGCTGTGACACCTCCCACAGCCAGGCTGCTTTGTTCTCCAGGGTGGCCCCAGTCAGAGCAGATAAACAATCAGTACACTCCACCCCCAAACTGGCCAAGGCCCCTGGGGAAGGAAGCAGGCCAAAGTTCTGTCGCTGCCCCACCCAAATTACACATCCTTCCTCTAGAGGGTGCTATTTCCCCCCAAACAGGCCCAGTCAAATACCAGAGACCCCATTATCAAGACAAGACCAGCCTGTGAGCAGTGAAAGAGACAGAAACAGGTTCATCCACTGTCTCCCTCCTCTAAGAACTAAACGAATGATTCTTTCCCTAATACAAAAGCCAGTCACACCTATAAGAATGTCCAGCATACTCCTTCAACAAATACCAGTTCCACATACTGCTCGGTGCTGTAAGCTCCCTAGAGCTGTGTTTTATTACCTGCAAGCTCATTTATTTTAATTGGAAGTCACTTATTCTCCAGAATGAATGAATTTATCAAAGATTTTCTTGGATGCAGGACTGATCTTGAGTTGTTTTTTGTTGTTGTTGTTGTTGTTATTATTTTGTTTTTGTTATTGTTTTTTTTTTTTAACTACTGGGGTTGAACCCATGGGCACTGAACCCTATCTCCAGCCTTTTTTATTTTTTGAAACAGGTCTCAATAAGTTGCCCAGGCTTGCTTCAAGTCTGTAATCCTCCTGCCTCAACCTCCCAAATTGCTGGGATTACAGGTATGAGACACAGTGTCCATCTAGGACATGGCT